AATAAATTACATTATGACCATACTAGTTTTTGATTCATCTACAAAACACCTTGATTTCTTCAATTTTAGCATGAGAAGAATCTAAAACACATGTGTAAAATGTTTGTGAGCATTTTGCTATTCGGTTTTTCTATCTCTTACCACTGTTTCTAACTACATTATCATCTCGTATTGCTATTTTGTATTATACAAAATTTGTATTGTTTTGTGTTACCAATAAGACCTAGTTATGTGTAATTACTCGAATTCATTAAGAAATGTAAAATGTTGATGAAAAGAAAAATACACACATTCTATTTTGCTATATATAAGTGTGAGTAGGCTAAATCACTAATTTATAATTGAACTCACCATATCAATTTATGTTTTGAGGATTATTTATGGTGGTTTCTTGGATCTCACGCTTCCTCGTCATTCTCCTCCAAAACCAATGCTTCTCCCAAAGTCCAGCCACTTTTTCAATCGGAACATTCTTAGTCTCCGGCAAAAACAGCTGCACCGCCACCGTCATAACCACCACCCACCCTCCATAGAAGAAGAAAATCCCTGCTCGGAACTTGCATAACATCGGTGGTACACTTTGAGCCACCGCGAAAGTGAACACAAAACTCACAGCCACCGTCACACTCTGCGCGGCCGATCTAATCTCCAACGGAAAAATCTCGCTCGGTACAAGCCACCCTAATGGACCCCAAGACCAACCAAACCCCGCCACGTAGACACACACCAAAACCACAACCGCGTAACCATAACCTTCCCCGATCACACCACCGTGAACATCAGCCACAGTAATGATCACACCGATGATAACTTGCGACACAAGCATCTGTAACCCTCCGATCAAAAACAGAGTCTTTCTACCGATTCTGTCAACAACAAGCATCGATACAAACGTCGAAGTTGTTCCCACGATTCCGGTCACGAGCGTCGACATCAACGAACCGCTTTCTCCAAAACCGACGGTTCTAAACAGAACCGGTGCGTAGAAAGCAACGACATTGATACCAGTAACTTGTTGAAAGAAAGGTATAGCTAAAGCCATCACTAACTCAGGCCTATAATTTCTCTCAAGCAATTTCACAAACACTTGGTGTGCGTTAGCGTTTGATTTTGATTCAAAACTCGCTTCAACGAGATCGGTAAGCTCGTCTTGGACATCGTTTGTTCCACGGATACGACGGAGCATGAGCTCTGCCATGTGAACATCTCCGGTGGTCTGAATGATACTGTTGGGAGTTTCCGGGAGAAAGATTGAGCCTAGCGTGAGGATTGAAGCCGGAATTGCAGCTGTGGCTAATGAGATTCTCCAACCGTATCCGTCTTTGATCTTTTGGGTTTCGTAGTTTATGAAATTTGCAGATAGAAATCCAATTCCGATGCAGAGCTGGAAACCATTGCTGATTGCTCCTCTGTGTTTCGCCGGAGCCATCTCGGAGAGATACAGAGGAACCGACTGTACATAAAAAAATTTGGAAGTTTTAGACTTTTTTTTTAACTAATAGAAGCCCTTGAAAACTGATTACATAATAATTTGACCCCTAAACTATTGTCTTTGACTTTAAACCCCAGTAACCACGACCAAATCACAAAGAGAAATTTTTTAATCTCGACTAATCAACTTGTATTGTATCACAAATTCACCTTAAAAAATCGATATTATAACATTTTGACCCCAAAACTCTAGTCTTTGTGATTATTAACCCATTAACTCGAATTTTGTCACCTGGTTTGCGAATCCCACTCCTACACCGAGCAATAGGCGAGCAATGAGGAGCATAGCAACGTTCTGAGCAGAGCCGCCGAGAACAGAGCCAGCAAGAAAGGCCACGCCACCGAGGAATATAGAAGGCTTGCGACCCCAAGAACGAGTCACAGACGAAGCTAACAGAGAAGCAATGAAACCGGAAACGTAAAGAGAAGATGTGAAAGAAGTAAGAAGTTGGCTATTGAAAAGACAATAGTGGTTATTG